TGCATTTGCTAACCTCCTCCTGAATGTGCTAGTTGGCAGACCACCAAGTTAAGTGCCTCTCAGTTTGGACACCTGGAACAAATATGCATGTCAGGAAAAGGATGTTAGAACCCCCTATAAGCACCCTTTGTGATCTAAGAAGGTCAACATGACAGCTAGGCAACTTGTACCATCAGTAGGAGATTCCAGCAGTGGCAGCCTCCATGTTTATTTTCATGACAGGTTTCCTTTACAGGAACAGTTGAGTAGAAGTCTGCTTTAAATATGTCATAATTACATATTAAGCCAAAACTAGATTAGAATTAATTTAAATATCATGGAACAGATTCTGCCACACAAGTTCTGCAATGCTGAAAAAAAGAAAAGAAAAGTGTTGCACCTTTTTTTAACTCGGCTTTTTGGCTGCGTTTCCCGGAAGGTGGCAGTGTGGTGACAGTAAAATTGTTGGGGTCCTCACAGTCTCGGATTTTGGATTCCTTCATCAAGGAGTCAAGTCTCTTCTTAGCTATGTTTTCCACTTGCTTCCTATTGGTGGAAGCCTACAGATATGTAAACAGATGGGTGAAATTTGGCCACTGTCCATTTCATTTACAAGAAAAATAAAATTAAAAAATATTGGCAATTGTGTCAGGCATATACAATGGATGTAGCCATTTTGTGCACCAATAGCTTATCAATAAGGTAGGAACGGAGTGATGACACTAGCGGCTGCCTGGTAGGCTGCATCTTATTGATATGGTGTGCAGAATGGCTTCTTGCATAGTATATAGGCAATACGCACACGATGCATTGCATATCAGAGACACCGATACTTTGATGGGCATTCACTTGACCAGTAATGATGCATGCAATATTATAACAGTCACAGGCAGCGATTCTAAGGAGGAGGCAGTTACAGATCTGTCGAAGCCATGGAAAATGCAATGTCTTTACTGAAAGACTGTTAATGAATTTGCTGGATGAAACGTCTGCAAATATTAATTTAGCAAGGACTTCATAGGAAAATTAGAGAGGTTCATGCATTTTTAAAAAGATTTCTAGTCATATAGTCTAGACAGGATAACTTTTAAGGAAAAATTTAAATACGTCTCCTTTTTGTGTAACCTAATAGGAAATAATTAGGTAGCATGATGTAGGGCATATTATAAAAACCATGTCTAAAGTACTTGCTTTAGTTCCATCTATGGACCAATTAAAATAATATAAGCTAGATCTTACTTTTAAGTGCTTGTTTAATCTGAATTATCTGATTACAAAATATAAGAATATTTCAAATAAAGTGAAATATTGATGCCAATTTGGAGAATTTTATTTTACCTAGTTAAAGGAAAAACAAAAATAGAAATATTTCCTTTCTGGAAATGTTTAAAGCGCCAAGTTTTCAGCCAAACGGTTGTGTGTGATTATATGGGGAAGGATTAGAACCTGTCTACTGTTAACATCCAAAAATTTCATGTATGTTGTTTCCCATTCCAAAGACATTTTGACACACATGGTATCAAGACACAAAAAAGAACAAATTTCCCCAACAGGGGCAGAAGGGACCAGTGCCATCTACCAAGGGCTGTGCTTGGGCAGGAGGGTGGGCTCATGTGTGCTCGGGCAGGGGGACATGCTTGGCTGTGTTTGGGCGGACTCATGTGTGCTCGGGTGGGGGGTTCGGGCAGATGGGATGGCCCGCTGCGCCTCTGCCCTGGGTTGTCACTGTCAGCGCTAATGGGGGCGTGAAAAGCACGTGATTGGTTGCTAGGACATTGGCGGTCCTAATAACCAATCAGGTGTTTGCCCTGCCCCCAGGCCGCAACATTCAGAGGAGGAGGAGGGCGGCAAGGACAGGACTTCTTCCAGCTCGTGTAGCTGCCTAGAGGAATGAATGGAATGGACCCTGAGGTAAGGGGGGTTTGGGGGATCCTGATGTAAGGGCACCAAATTAAAGAGAATGGGCTTTAGGGACCCTGATGTATGTGGGGGACGCTGAAGACTATGATGTCTAGGGGGACCCTGATGTATTGGGGGGACTTTTGGGACCCTGATGTAAGGGAAGAGGGGAACTCTGGGGACCCGTATTTAAGGAGGGGGGCTCTGGGGGACCATGATGTAAACAGAGGGCCTATGGGGACCCTGATGTAAGTTGGGGGGGGACTCTGGAGACCACGATGTAATGGACTGAGCCTGATGTATTGGGGGGACTTTTGGGATCTTGATGTAAGGAGGGAGGACTCTGGGAAACCTAGTTTAATGAGGAGGCTCTGGGGGACCCTGATATAAGGGGATGAGCTATGGGGACCCTGATGCACATAAGGTGGGGGGGGGACTCTGGAGACCATGATTTAAAGGGGATCCTGATTTATTGGGGGGGGCTTTTTGGACCCTAATGTTGAGGGGGGACTCTGGGGACCCTGATTTAAGGAGGCAAAACTTGGGTACCCTGATGCAAGGGGAGGGGTTGTGGGGACCCTCTCCTGTATCCTGTCCGCAGTCTCTGACCGTCTCCTGGGATGGAGCTCTAATAGGAAAAGGTGGAGCCTACAGTGGAAGGGGCAGAGTTTACAGATGAAGGGGTGGGCCCTAAACAGGAAAGGGTGGGAGAAATTTAGAAGGGGTGCGATTTTAGTCTTGCCTAGGGCATCACAAAACCAAAATATACACTACTGCACACACTATATAGGGTGGTGGGCTTTACATTTTTAACCACTTGCCCTCCAGAGGATTTACCCCCCTTGCTGACCAGGCGTTATTTGTGATACGGCACTGTGTTACTTTAACTGACAATTACACAAGCTATTCAGAGCCATACAAAGCAGTGTGCAGGAGCTGACAGGGGAGAGATCTTTGTTGTTTATACACAGGTCTCTCCCCTGTTGGAGATACTCAGCGATCACAGGGTGCTGGCAAGAAATCACTTGCCGGGACTCGGTGATTGACAGCCGAGGGAACGAATGGTGGCTCAGTATCTGAAACTGAAAAATCATGTATATACACACACGTGATTTTGCACACCCGTGCCACCCTGTAGCAGTATTTCTGTTATAGGGCGCCACAGAAGCTGTTAAACATGGCAAAACTAAGCCCTGCATTAAAAGCATTGACTTAATCCCACCGATCTATGCACATTTTTACAAGCAACCAGTGTAAGTGCTTGAATTTAACTAGATATCAGCCTGAGATAAATAGACTAGATATCAGACCAAGAGAGTGAAAATCAACATAAGGAGCCAAACGGTTGTGTTGCAGTGCTCATGTCTGAACAAGAAACATGCTGATAAGAGGAGAGAGCAGAGTGAGAGATGAGCTCATCAGTTTGCAGCTTCTCCTTTCACTGTCCAGCCCTTAGGTGGGGAAAGAACAAGACCTGTAAGTATAACTTAACTGCCGCAGAAAAAAAGCAGGTCTCCTGCTCTTGCCAGACAGGACTATGCTGTGTAGCAGAGCGGTTTGAATCTCAGAACTGAATGGGCAGAAATGCAACTTCTTTGCAGCTAAAACAACACTTTTGTCTGCGATTATTTAACACCTTTCCCATTCGTGCACCCAGTAGTCACTAGGAATATAACAAAGTATACAACACCCTATAACAGCTCTATAGCTTTCCTATCCTAGCTGGCAGTATACATAGCACACATTTGGACTGTTAACAGGGAGTATATATACATTTCTGGGATCGCTGTCTACTAAAAGAAATTACATTCTACAGCATGGTGAATTCATCATAGCAGGTCTACACATCCAGATCATGCAGATATTACACACACAGTCGGCTTGGTCTGCCCCATGCTTCTCTTCACTGGTAATGGCTCCCGCTGCTGCCTCTGAGCCAAAGAGGCGGGAGAGAGCACTGCTGTTGTGCACATCACTGGATCAAAAATTGGCTCAGGTAAGAGCATACATGCATATAAAACATTCATGCAAAAAAAAAAACAAACCTTCTGCCTTTACAACCAATTTAACTGTGACCTAAATTCAAAAATTTACCTGGGGTCTCTTGCACTCTTGCCACCAAGGAAATGGTGATGATAAATTTTGGTGAAATATCACCTTTTAAGAGTCAATGGCAGAAAGCAAAAGTGTGTTTTTTTTTTTTTTTTAAAGATGCAATGGACTATAAATGGTACCCAAGATTCACAGAAGCCTCTCAACTGTCCTGGACTGGATTTTGTGCCAAACAACAGATTCTAATCTAGCCTTATTATTTGACATTTTTCCATCGAAAGAAAACCAATATTGAAAGAAGTCAAATACAAATGTAACACAACAGAGAACACAAAAGAACAAATTAAAAAATTAAAATGTATTTGATTAAACTACCCTAAACATACTCTCCAAAAATAAATATCTTAGCCTTAATGGCTCGGTGAGTGAAACAAAGTGTTTCCCTTTGTCAAAAATCAGTCGTTTTGCGATAAAATTAATTTCACCTAAAATTACTCCAATATTATCCCCTACACTTTAACAATCCAGGTACAACCATAGACAGTTTCTGTGTGAAGCAAAATCATAGATTAGCTACTCATGCAACAAAGTCAATAGTGCCTTTGTTGCAGTTAAACTATTAAGTGTAGGATATGCACAGTTTCAGGCCATAGAGTCCAATGGGTGTTTTTCGCATTTTATAACTATGGTGGTCTTCAACATCCCCCGCTCCAAACACTCACTGAGCAGCATTGTTGATTGCAGCACAGTGCAGGGGACATATCAGACCTGTAAAGATCTGGACCACTGCTTTCACACAGAACACAGTGAACCAAGTTTTCAGCAGGTTGCTAGGCATGGGGCCAGGGGCGGACTGGCAACTCATGGGGCCCCTGGGCAATAGGGGATCATGGGGCCCGTGTCCTTGTTCAAACTCAAAAAAGCCTATCAAAAAGGTACCAGGGGCATCTCATGGGGCCCCCTACTGACCCCAGGCCCTCGAGCAGTGCCTGAGTTTACAAATGGTCAGTCCGCCCCTGCTTGTTACATGAGGTTGGGGCTGTGACCTCATCCACATGTGTAAGCTTTGACACCAGTCAACAAGAGCCTGTACAGGTTTAGGGATGGAGAGGAGTGAAGCAATGTGGGATGGCATGTATAAGTAGGTCAGAGCCTAGAAAATTGTTTTGGGTTGGTACCAGGGGCATCTCATGGGGCCCCCTACTGACTCCGGGCCCTCGGGCAGTGCCCGAGTTTCCAAATGGTCAGTCCACCCCTGCATGGGGCTAGGACACTATCACTAAGAAAAAAAAAAACCCATACAAATGAAAAGTTTATTTTTGCAGTTTTACTCCATAGGGAAGTTAAAAAATAAAGCTAGCATCGGGCTTTAAATAAAGACCTATGAGAAGTATATCTTGTACATGTAATGTAGATAAGATTGTGTCAGGACACGCTGATGAAATGTAGAGTTTGCCAAACAATAGAAACTTGCATAATTGTGCCTCTGCCGAAATGTCATGACCAACGTTCCAAGCGTTGACAGAAATTTTAAAATGATTTTTATCTAGAGACTTTTATCAAAGTAAAAGGTAAAACTTTCTATTCGTTAGTATTGAATACATTTTCATAAATCTCCTTGCAAACTGCTCTTGAATAATGGGATCAGTCTAAGAAGTTCTTACATTTGCGGATTAATATTTTAAATGTTGCTGGCAGTAAAGAGCAATATTTGAACTTTTTCAGATGGTTATTCATGGTATAAAAAAAACTCTGTATGGATGAGCTGGAGAAATACAATAGCTTCACATGAATCAGTTAGGAATGTGATTTCAGCACCCGCAGCACTAAATATCTTCCAGCCAAAAAGAAAAAATGGACTAATAATGAAGAAAACCTAAAATCCATTCTATTTTACTATATAATTGCAAAGCTCGTCTCAAAGGATTGCATTATTAGCCTTAGCCTAACCCTCATCCAGAGATATGTCACAGCCACTAATAAATCTGACTAGTGAACTTTCATTTCATGATGATTTCTTGACGTTCATGTACTTCATATGAACTAATTCGGTAGATGCACTCTATTCCTAATCACAAATATGTATGCCAGAATGGAATAGCGTACTAAATCACAAAAATTCTCTTAAAGTGGACTCAAAGTGAAGATTTCACTATCTTATAGCGAACATTTAAAAATGTAAATTCTGCCAAAGCAGTAGCCTGAACAGTTGACCTTTTACCCTCAAAAAGAACTAGAACCAAAAAGTAAAACAATCTAGTTGCATATTGCACTTGGTCCAGTTTTGATCCATTGTCATTTTCTGTAGTAAAAGCCAATTATTACTAGAAATAATTGCTAGTATTAGTGCTGTCAGTGGTGGCTATAGCTCCCAGGTTAAAGCCCAATTTATGGGCATTCCTTCCTACAGCCAGCACTATAGCCACCTCCCCCCCTGTAAAAATGGATTTTGAGCAGTGAGCCAGCTACCCCCCCAGCCAGCACTGACTGATCATTCACAAGAAAATCACGTAGAGCTGTCAGGGCTGTATAATCTATTTTGCTGGTGCTGTGCATGGTTCCAAAAAGCCAGCAGAGAGATCACAGCCCTACCAGTGCTAACTGATATTATACTTTTGTGAATGGACAGTCAGTTCTTTTGGGGCTGTGTGATCTATCTGAAGCGGTTAGCATACATACACACACAGCACCGGCAGATAGATCACACAGCCTCAACAGCACAGACTGTTCATTCACAATAATTTAGGATCAGTCAGCGCTGTTGAGGTGGTGTGATCTATCTGAAGCAGTTAGCATAGATACCACTGGCAAATAGATCACACAGCCCCAACAGCACTGACTGTTCATCCACAAAAACATTCTTCTTCTCCTGTAAAGATGGTATTGCCTAAATCTTCAGCCTGCTGGAGTGGTCAACAAAGACATAGCTAGTGCTGGGCTTTCTTTTTAGACCGCACAGTACAGACCGCATTCTAATGCATTGTAACCACATACAATACATAGACGGAAATCACTGTGAACATAGTCAGCAGTGCCATTCAAAAATACAAGGTAAAGTTCTATCATGCAAAGAAGAAACCATATCTGAACATGATCCAGAAATGCCATCATCTTCTCTGGGCCAAACCCTATTTAAAATGGATTGTTGCAAATTGGATTGGTGGCCAGATGAATCAAAATTTGACATTCTTTTGAGCAACCATGAGCTCTGCATCCTCTAGACTAAGGAGGAGATGGATTTTCTGCTTGTTATCAGCACCCAGTTAAAAAGTCTGAATCTCTGATGGTATCGGTGTGCAATAGTGCATCTGCAGGGCACCACCAATGCTGAAAGATCTATCCAGGTTTTAGACCAGCTTATGCTGTCATCCAGACAAGGTCATTTCAAGGTTTTGCATATTTCAGTAGGACCGCAATGGGAAACCACATACTGCATCTATGACAACATCTATGACAACAGCATGACTTCGTAGTAGAAGAGTCCAGGCGCTTAACTGGCCTGCCTGCAGTCCAGACCTGTCACTATTTAGAAAAATTTGGTGCATCTTGAAAAGAAAAAAAATGACAGACGACTTAAGGCTGTTGAGCAGTTAAAATCCTATAGCAGGCAAGAATGGGACAATATTCCTCTCCAAAAACTCCAGCAACTGGTCTTGGTTCCCAAATGTTTACAGAGTGTTAAAAGAGCGGATGCTACACCATTGTAATCATTGTCCTGTCCTAACTTTTTTCGTGTTGCTGCCATCAATTTCAAAATTACTTTTTTTTTTTTTTTTTTTTTTTAAAAATGGTATATTTTTACAGTTTAAACATTTTCTGTTTTCTGTTTGTGAATGGGAATATAAAGTGGATTTGTGAGATTTGCAAATCATTGCATCCTGTTTATGTAGATTTTACAGAGCGCCCAACTTTTTTGGAATTGGGGTTGTAGTATGTATGTACCTATAGGGGTAAATTAGTTTCAAGATTAAGGCTCCATGCACACTGGGCATTTAAATAACGCTGGTAGAATTAGCTGTGTTAAAAATGCAAATGTTTCATCGGTTTTTAACGTTTTTATTAGCATTTTCCTAAACTAAAAAGGTCCAAAAATGCCGGTTTGCTGCATTTTACCACATTTTGCCATGTTAGAGCATTTTTACAGCTAAAAAACTCCTCTAGAAAACCACTAGTTCTGGAGGTTTTTTTCCAGCCAAAAAACGTCCCTGCCAAAAACCTCTGATTAAAGCCTATGTGTGCATGGACACATAGGATAACATGCTGGGGAGTTTACTGGCTGTAGAGAAAAAAAAACGACAAAAGCCAAAAACAGCAGCTGTAAAAATGTCCAGCTTGCAGGAGGACTAAAAGTTAGGTTAGGTATAGTAAATAAATAAAAAACAAAAACAATGTGCGCTATCAAACTAGTGAATAAGCTAATAAAATAGAGCCGCTGCAATAACACTTAAAAGGTGATCCCACACATAAAACATAAAACATACATAAATAGTGTTGTGCTAACTCATAAAAACATAATAGTTCATAAACAGATTCAAACGTGATAGTTCAATCAAAATATGAAATATAAATATAAAGTGATTGAATGGTGAAGAATCACTACGATGTGCTGCGGATTAATAAAGTCTATTTGAAAAACACAATGCTCCACCTTAACTCAGTGTTCCTCAGCCTAAAAATATATATGGATGGCCCGCTCACCTCCTACCATGGACCCATAAATTAATATAGGTCAACCAAGAATGGTAGCTCCAAAAAAGTGCTCTAGATGGCAGCAGAGAGCTGATGACAGGCACCCCTTCATTGACAGTCATTGAAGGGGTGCCTGTCATCAGCTCTCTGCTGCCATCTAGAGCATCTTTTTGGAGCTACCATGCTTGGTTGACCTGTATTAATTTATGGGTCCACGGTAGGAGGTGAGCTGTCATTTATATATATTTTTAGTGGAGGAGCACTAAGTTAAGGTGGAGCATTGTGTTTTTCAAATAGACTTTTTTTTATCCGGAGCACATCGTAGTGATTCTTGACCATACAAGCACCTTATTTGATTTTCACCATTCAAGCACTTTATATTTAAATTTATATTTTATATTTTGATTGAACTATCACCTTTGAATCTGTTTATGGACTATTATGTTTGTATGAGTTAGTGCAACACTATTTATGTATGTTTTAGGTTAGGTATAGTGTCAAGAAGTTAACACTATTTTAGTTTAGTAGCCAAGTAAGGTAAGGGGTAGCCTAGTATGTAGAGTTTAGATCACGTGCCAAGAATAAAAATTAAAGGACAGGTTAAGGGTTTGGGTCAGTGTTAATTGTTGCAGTTTGTTATGAATAACATTAATCATTAGGGTAGGGCATACAGCCAGGGATACTGAAGACCATTTGGATTTGAAGGTGTATGTAGTAGGTGCTGGATACAAAGCAATAGGTTTGATCTCAAAATGAAAATAATAGACTATACCAATAAGATCAATTTCTCTGGTTAGGCAGCTCACATCCACGAAAGATCCTTAGGAGACAATTCATATTAATAAAATGTAAATCAACATGTTTCGGGATTTTAAGGCAACCCCTTCATCAGGGCTGGGGAAAGCTGACCAAGGCAGATGTTGGACTCCAAGTTTAAAAAGATATTTAAATGAACTCTGTAGATATTGATAAAGAAGGCTTCAGTAACTTATTTGTTCTAGCATGGCTGTACGTGCCGGGACTGAGATACAGTATATCTGTTTCATAATACTAGGACACACAAGATAAAAATAAATACTACTAAAAAGAGCATGCAGACAGAGATGACAACAGTTTTAGGACAGAATCTGTTCCAGCAATAAGAATCCACAATATTAGCATGTCTACAGCACAAATAAAGCACACAGAAGTCACAGCTATATCTGAAATCACATTGTTTGTTACCAAACCATGCTCTATGCTGGGAAAATAGTGAGATACTGAAATGTGATTCATGGAAGCAGCTGATGGGCTGCAATTGGCATTAAAGACAACCATTTTTATGTTTTTGCACGCTGTTAGTCATGAGGCCCATTTATACTGCCAGGTACAATTGTTTACCATTTCTATTCTAGAGTAAAATTCTAAAACAATATGTAAACCTGCTGGATCACATACTTGTATGAAAAAGGATCCTGTTTTCAT